ATTTGTTTAAATGTTAACCCAGCATAGAAAATAACAGGTGACTAGAACTGCCATATAAATGTGTTGGACTACAAAACAATATTTGACTTTGAAATGTAGTGAATTTAAGTTTATTTCCTTATTTTACATTTCAAAAATCATAAATGTAAAAACATGTGATAGTTGATTGATTCACTTTACAACATGGAGCTGATGTTTCTCGTTGGATGTCAAAAGTGTCCATGGACTATTTTCTGCCGCACCCTCTCTCACTGTCCATTAAAATATATTTTAGGCTCCGGGTCAATATGTTTCTATAGGCTCTCTGTGTGTCACCTTGTCCTTTAATATGTGACGGCCTGTGTGTGTTGCGTTTCCTCCACAGATCCAGTTCTTTTTAACCATGTCCCAGACGATGTGTGCGGTCATATGGCCATGTGGCTTCCCCAAGGGATGGCTGTACTTCCAAATAAGTTACATGGTTGTGCTCATTGTCCTTTTCTCAAACTTCTACATACAGGTTGGTTTTCTGTTTTGAACCGATTATTAATGAGTTATATTTTCTTCTGAATAATAAACTATTGCAATGTTGGTTTATAAGCTTTTTCAGTTCTGTTGCTGATAGGAGGTTCTTTGGGTTTATTAACAAAGAGAACTATAATGGAACGTTTAATTTAAAACACACAAACTTACCATATAAACAATAATAGTATTTGTGTTCCTGTATACATTTTTTAGTGTGAGTAAACTGTTAACCTTATTACATTTTTAAGATCTTTGTGTGTAACAACATGTTACCTCTGCCTCTCTTTCAAGACGTACAAGAAGCACAGTGGTTCTCTAAAGAAGGAGCATCAGAACGGCTCTCTTCTATCGACCAATGGACATGTAAATGGCACGCCATCTACGAAGAGCACTGAACACAACAAACTGAGGGTGGATTGACATTTGAGAAGCCGCCACCTAATTATCACTTTAGCGTGTTAGCTTATGCTGCTAGGAGGTATTTTCTTATCTAGAATAGTTTAGCACTCAGTCGAGATGAAATACGCCATAGCCATATATAGCCACCGACTTTCCACTTGTTTGCACATGTTCCTACTCATGTTATTGAATTATTAAATGTATACAGAAGAGTATTGTAGTATGGTTGCACAATATTGCCTCCCCTACCCTAGAGGATATGTTCACTTGAAAGCAAAAAAAATCCCTTTCTTGCTACCAGCATTCAAACACACATTCATTTGCACACAAGAGGTCCAAAGATGAAGGCTGGAGAGAGTCTGTTGGTAGCTAAAGGTTTCATCACACTTGATGACGTCTCTGTTTCAGCAACCCTTAATGTGTAACTACAGTATTGTGTGTCTGCTTTATCTCACTATCTGTACTGTTGCATAATCCTAAATGATTCCCATTGTAACACCTAAATGCATTTTGATTGACTGGTTGTAACGGCATACTTTCCCTTGTATATGTGCAGAGCAGGTTCTCGAATTCCGAATATTTAGCCATTTAACTAAAGCATATCCAAAGCATAGTGTACATAGTGTATTTGCTAAAGTTTGTATTTAAACTAGTTCAACACACAATGAGGACAGTTGTTGGGCTAAATGAGCACAATAACACTATATTTTCCTTATCTTTCCCTATGTTATAAAATGATAACACTGGGCTCTAAAATCTACTGTAGCTTTATCCCGTAAATTCAATTAGAACATTTATTACATTTAATTGAATAAAGCAATGCCCATTAGGTCTACGGTGCAGCTATTCATTGGTAACTATTTAGAATAATTGTTTCGTTGTATAATGTATTGTTTTGAGTCTTTACATAAATAGGGTGCCTTCTGGACCAGTCGATTTGGTTTCCAATGTGATATTTTTCATCTTTTTAAAATGCTATTACCAGATTCATGTTGGTCCATTTCAGACTTCCAGTTCAAATCCTGTGCCTGACTATTTATGTCTCGTTTTGAAAATATCATTGCTATTCCTATAGCAATTGACACATACGTAATGCAACACTGATGTTTATCCTATGTTAAAGGAAAGGGAGAGGTACTTTTTCTTATGATTTCTTTCTGAGAGTTAGATGAGATCAATATTCCCACTGTATAAGTTAAACTGCAACTGATAACCTTAGCCTAAAATAAAGACTGGAAACAGGGGATACAGCGGTAACAAAAGAGCCAGGTACGCTGTTTTCACGTTTTCCAATCTTTATGCTAAGCTAGCCTGCTGTATGTAGCCTTGTACAGTATTTAGAGTAGGCCTACAGATGAAAGAATGGTATCAATCTTTCCATCTAGCCGTTGGCAAGAAAGTAAAACAAAATGTAAAATTATTTCTTAAACAAATTCCAAAAACTGTTCCTCATCTTACAATTTTAACATGTTTTTAAAAAATGCAAAGAAAAAGTAATTACATGAGAATTATTTGTTTAGTTTTTTGAGTGGATAAAGAGGGTTGTAATGATTTAACTATGATTTCCTATGTGTTCCTTTTGTTTATGTTATTTTATCTTCACCCAAACTATTGCCAGGGTAAACAAAGTAAATGCTGGTATTGAAAACAAAGGAACAATGTGCGCATTATAAACTGTGTAAATCTAAAGCCCTCGCTGTGGAGCACTACTGCGGTGCTCTACCATGCTGAATCAATTTAATGAGTTTCTGTATGGCCTTAACCACTGAATGTGCATCACATGATGCTCAAATGTATAGGTGACCTAGATTCAGGTCTACTGCATCAGTAATTATTGTTAAATTCTGAATTAATGGCCACATTGTATCTGCTTCAGGAATTTGGTCAGGAAGATCTGGTTATAACAGACAACCTGTTTGTCATACATTAGCAATATCTAGATAATGTGGATACCTGGATAAGCATCAAATTACACCGTAGTTAATTAAGGCCAAAGAAGCATACACATATGTATGTAATGACATAAAACATACATTTTATAGACTGTTAAAATAGATATATATATATTTTCTGAAATCGATGGGGTAAATGTTGGTTCACATGTTGTGACTCATGCTTTACTCAATGTAAAACATTAAAAACAAACTGAGATTGTAAACTCGTTTTCCTTTCTTTGAAGTGATGTAAATATTATATGAAGACGAACAATATTTTCAGAGTTTAGAGTTTACTGAGCCTTATTACCTATTTAATGTTGGTTTTAAAAAATGTAGTAAAGAGGATGAATGGTAATGTTAGTTTGTTGGTTGGTTCAGTGCTAATAAACAAATGTAGCATGCTAATATGCTAAACTAAGTTGGTGAACTTGGTCAATGTTATACCAGCTAATCAAGCATGTTAGCATTGTCATTCAAAGCATGTTAGCATGCTAACATGAGCCTTTAGCTCAAAGCAGTGCATGACTAGAAGTCAGTCAAAAGTATCCAATATCAGCTATTTAAGAGAAGCTTTTGAATAACATTATCAACAAATATTGTACAGCATAATATTAAACAATTGAAAGGTAGCCTACTCCAAAATGATAAACCATAACATATTTCGGTTGAATTTAACCTATTGTGTTTATGGTACTACTGTACGGAGCCCTAAAGGGACAGAGAAAAAGAAAAAAAGAGAGAGAAAAAAAAGGTCGGGATAACGGGTTAGTGTCTCGTGCACACGAGAAAGTATCTTTTGAAAAAAAAATCGGGATAACGGTTTAAGAGACATAAAACAAATGACAAAAAAAATAAAGTCAGGTAAACTCATTTACATAAAATAAAATGTTGCACTGGAAAAAATATGTCTTTGAGTTTTTATATCAGATTATTTTCTTCTTTATTTGTAAAGTTGAATTTTTACAATGGGAATAATACAGATATTATGGTTTCTTGTAGAAAGTGAAAAACTCAAGAGGATGATAGATGTTCAAAAGGTAATATTTAGTATAAAACAAACTTCTAAAGCTTTAACAAATGTTTAACCTTTACTCCACTATGGCTATCACTCTCTTGATCCACCTCTGGACCATGCAGACTTGTCGCTCTGGTGTTTCACACACAGCTCACATTTTAATTAAGGACAGAGCGACAGTTTGTGAGCTTTGCATGTCTTCTGGCCAGCCACGATACAAACAGTTGGTTGATAGTCTCAAAGTTATCCCTTGAAAGATTCACTATGATAAGAAAGTGTCAGTTTACTCTTTTCTTTGTTAATGATGTATTGGACAAATTCTCGACATCAGCCTTTAAGTGTGAATTAACATAAAAATTCAAAAGCCAAGCTAAAAAAAGGCAACCAGTCGAGACTCCAGGGAGTAACTGCACCCGACCAACAAATAGTCTGGTACATAAACCCATGTACTGTAAAACCACTTTGTCCTATTTTACTCTTAAACAGCTTAACCAGACGAGATGTAGAGTGGTATGTTTTAGTCGTGCTGGTAGGCATATTTTTGTTACATTTGGACCGACCCAGGCTCTCAGTAAGCTGCGTTGTGATAAGATTTTTATATAAAATAGAAGATTGACTTAAATCCCAAAACATTGTACATATGTCCTAATTGTCCAGAGTAGTAATACAATGCTGCATTGTATTGAAGTTGAGCTAAACAGAAATAAATTGTCTTGCCATTTTTATTGAGTTATTACTGGAGAGTTCCTTTGTTGAAAAATCAACTAAGGTCAGGCCAACCAGCCACAAATCATTTAGCATAATCCAATACAACTTTCACATTCATTATTTTATTCCCTCTGCAAATCCTTTTTGAATCAATCTGTGTTTGGTTGTCAGAGAATGGAATACGTGGATAATGCCTCTCCTCAGCAAGACAAATGATGAACTGTAGAAGTCTGAAATCACATTTGCAATGCCTTTTCACTGAGGTTGTGTAATAGGATCTCCATTTTTTTTCCTATGATGTAACATTGTTCCTCTATTCCTATAGCTATATTGGATACATAAAGGCCTGGTTTTGCACCACTACCGAGTGTCTGATATTTCAGTCTTTTTAAGATTTACCCAATTTCCTTCAATGTAGTACTTGACAATACACGTAATTCTTTACATTTTCACCACTTTTTATTTGAGGGAGAAGATGAACCATGAAACACAGTGTAAACATTCAATGCTTGGAACAGGTGGGAAAGGTTGCTAATTATTTTAGCTCTCAGCACATTATTATAGTTTCTGAAATCAGAAAATAAGTAGTATTCTATTTTGTAAACCATCAACAAAAAGTGATCTCATAAGTAACATGAATGTTCGATTATATAACATCATATTCAAGCTGCAGCACAAATTAACCAAGCTGAGGAGAATGCATTCTGTGATAATGGTAGAGGAACTTTTGCTGTTGTCTTGCTGGGATTGTATGCAGGTCTCCAGGCTGCTTAAAGAGGCTGAATGGAGAATGCAGTGTAGCTCTTCACACGTGCAAAGATGAAGGGCTGGTACATGCTGTCCAGGTCGAACGCAGTGATAATCGTTTCCCCACTCAGCCTAGAAAAAAAGAAATAATGTCAAATTTTAAAGCAAACGGAGGATAAAACACATCTTAACTACTGTTACAACTTGTATCTCTTACTTGTAAGTGATGTGGCAGGAGTGATGGATCCACGACAGCTTACTGAGACTCTGACGCCCCCCAGAGGAGAGATGCAGTCCAACGTGGAAGTTGTGTTCAACCTCCGGAGACTGGTTCCGCCTGCAGAACCGATTCTTCTGAAACTCGGTTGCTTTCTGTAAAAACAAATAACACAGTTTACAAGCTGAGCCATGAACTGAGAGGTTAACTGTTTTCATTTCTTTTTGGAAATGGTCAATTTACATTCATGTGTCTCAGTAATGTATTACTTTGACTCTACTAATGAAGGAATGAGTGGTGCAACAGCTCATATTTGAATCTCAGTTTCTTTATCTGATCAGAGCTTTAAAGGATGTACGGGGAACACTGTCTTTTTCCTTCATAAAAACATCCTTATGTTACCCCAAAAACCTCCCCAGGTTATTCTCACCTCCTCCTTCTTCTTGCAGACAACAGCAAAGACTTTGGTTTGATTGTCCGTCTCCTGTGACAGACGGTAATGACCGTGCAGAACAGACTCCATTCTGTCAAATCAAACAAAACGTAACAATTGTGAAAAGTACTGCCACTCAGTCTGTTAAATGACTATTTATTGAAATAGTTCTAGCTGAGTTAGCAGAAAAAGGGAAAGGTGTACCTGACGTTCTTAGTGCGCAGACGAGGAACAACGCTCAGAGGGTCGTCAGGGGAGGTCACCATGACTACGTGGCCATCAGAGAAGAAGCGCAGGTACCTGATATAACAATTTCAGCTTTTAGCCTGTATACTTATACAACGCACAATCAAAGATAATGTTTGAAGTCAACAATTTACCTGTAGTACTCAATGTGATGCCAAGCCCTGTAAAATCCATCCAGTGATGCCTCTCCTTGACGTATGTATGATGTCTTGCTGATGTAAACACCTGTGAAAGTAAAATGCATGGAAAGCTTAACATCAAGTAAATAGAAAAATATATAGAATTGGAGGATGAACCCTCTATATTTGTCACACATAGCACCATTTGGTCTCTGCTTTTAACCCATCTTAGTAATAAGAGCTATGGGCAGCTATTGTACAGGGAACAATGGCGATGGTGTCCGGTGCATTGCTCAAGGGCAACACGGCACACATCCCCAAGTAGTAGTCCAGACTCCATATTTAGGTCTGTTCGGGGACTTGAACCTGCGACCCTACGGCTCCCAGTCCAAACCCCTGCTGACTGAGCCACTGCCAGACAGTCATTTTGCATGATGTTAAATGTAGTGATAATAGAAGAGTCATTGTTGTGGAGAATAATAAAAAGCCAAGACCAGTTTCTTAGTTGCGCTGTTTACTACAAAGCCAAAAAACTGATCAGCAATTTCACACTACGTATTGTTAGGAGCATGCATGTCTCAAAATTGTTCAAAATATTGTCACAAAACAACTGTTGTTTTATTTATTTATTTATATATGTTATTATTTAAACTGTTATTTTATAGGGCTGACATGGGTTGAGAAATATAACTTATCAGTAACGGTGTCATACTGTAAACTAAGACTCAGAATCCAAAATAAGTGCATTTGATTACCATCGAAACGCACACGAGGCCTTTGCAGAAACATCTCCCTCCAGGATTTGAAAGGTGCAATTTTAGTGCAGTTCCTTCCCCACACTCTTGAACACGCGGAGTGCCAAATCTCAGGGTCCCTGGAGAAAGAAAAAAAATCCAAATAATAAGAGTAAACCTAAAACCCTGCATATATAACTGTCTTTTCATAACTACATCTCTTGTGCATTCAAAATGTAAAGTCCCCAGTTGCCCGTTCCAACATCAGGAATGTTGAGAGGCAAATTGTCACACATCATATCTGTAATAACAGAGGGGCTCACCTTGCACAAATGTAAAACCCCCGGCAAACCAAGGAGAGCTGCTGCAGGGCTCGCATGTCCAGTTCGCTCGACACAACCCAACGGAAAATGTACATTAGGATTTCCCGGGGCAATTCTGCAGTCAAATAAATCACGAGACAAATGTGTTAAAATCTATAAGTCTATAATTGGTTTTAGACATGTCTACAATCTAAATGAAAATCAGTTTGGTACCTGAGATGTGCATCTGGGTGAAATCCAGCTGAGGAGTGCAGATCTTTGGAAGGGAACAGTCCAGATTAAGATCCTGCTCAAAATATGAGAGTAGATCCTCGATCTCACCATCAACACTGTCCTCCCTGCTGCAATTAAAAGAAAAGTACAGTTTGCATAATTGAAAAACAATGCAACAAGCACTTTTAGTGTAGCACAACAGCTCTTTGATAATGAAATGTATTCGAGGTTGATTCCCATACTTAGGTTTAAAAGTTTGAGCTAATAATACAAAATTACAGGATGTTTAAACATTGCAGATTTAGATTTAGTAATTTCCAAAAATAAAAAGCTGCTTACTATTTCCCTCCAGCCTGGTCTGCATCGGGGGGGCGGCTGTAGTTGATTCTGAACTCAATGTCAGGCACCAGCTGCATAGCCATGCGGTAGAACTTGATAGCTGCAAGTAAAGAAAGACATCGAAAGTTACAACAACATCAAAATGTAAAGACATCAATTTAAAAAATGTCATAAATAAAATATAAAACTATTTGTGTGGATTAAACAAACTCAAACTGTTAAAGGTAGTAGTTATTACATATGAACTGTTCAAAGCCTTCCCTTGTTTCTTTTAAGTTGATATTTGACGGTTATAACTGCATGTATTATCTAAATAAGATCTGCCTAGCACTTTCCACAAGTTTCAGTTAGTTTGTGAATTCTTTGTGCCATTTTAGTTCCTGAATAATTGTTTCTTATGGTGATACACCTTACATTTCACCCTTTCAAGGGTCATTCTGATCACCACACATCCCTTATACGTACCCACATAGACGGCTCCTTTCTGCTCTTCCTGAACAGCTCTCAGGAACAGCTCTGTGGCCTGAGGGGGGAAACGTCAGTCATTCAGCAGCAGAGCACCTTCCAGTGAAAGCACTTTGTAAGACATCCAAGTACATGACCTGGAGAAATCCCAATAACACTTACTTTCTCCTCACGGGCGATATCTTGTGTCCTCTTCAGACCTTGCGCTCGCAGCTGTCGGCCACTCCATCCACCTGCTCCAGAGCTCGTTTTGAGTTCAGACATCCATTGAGCTCTGAAAGCAGTCAGCTCCGTCTGCAATTCAATAACAAAGGTATTAAGTGGTATTAAGGCTAGACAAGGCAAGACAAGTTGATTTATAAAGCACTTTTCAACACTAGGCAATTCAAAGTGCTTTACAAAAGTGAAAGACGTTAAGAGCATAAAACACATTAGAAACATTGTACCTTGTACTCAAACTTACTATTCAACTTCATATAATAAAAAAAAGATTCAGAAACCATGTGAAAAAGTGTACATTTAGCTTTTACATGGCTGCTGTAATTAAAAAGTTAGATTTTCTCTCTTCACTTAATTGAGAGAAAAAAAATCACAAATCACCTTTTGGATTCTTTATTTTTATTTCAAAATAAAGGTTTATTTTACTACACAAAGGCTATTTATTGTAAAAGATTATGGAATAACATCTCTCTAACATCACATAGCCACAATTGCCAGTATGAAATGATACACAAATATTACCTGTCAACCAGGAAATGCTTTCAACTAATGATGATTCCAAGCCCCATATGCATAGGACTATTGTCGTGGGCAAGGGAATCCCTATCTTTTTCAACTAGGGCAACTAGAACACAATAAAGTTGGTGACAAAAAAATAATGGTTTCTTGTTGTACTTAAATAATAATTACATTACTTTGCTCATACATTTTGGCTTACACATACAACTGTCGCATAGCCCATGCAAATCCAAACTGAAGAAAACCAAGGAGCTACTAGTTTTAGGAACAGTGTGACAAGTACAATCCCAAGTTTAGAAGATATGTGTTTATGTGCCAATACAGCGTTTCTACTTTTCAGTTAAGCCTATAGAAGATTTCTCACCTGAATATTTGGATCATCTGAATCCTCGTCCTCGATCATGCTGCTTATATCAGTATTTTCTTCAGCCTGCACAAGAAAAAAAGGGAAATATTATTTAAAGTTCATCCCAGGAGCTACCAGGCTCCGGTGGTTGCAAATAACTTTTTTCCCAGATGACTTTAGTCCACCCAGCTGTTTTGCCTCGCCCTCTGATGTTTACCAGGCCTCTACAAATTAAAGGCATGGGCAAAATACAACGTTTGTCAACCAAACAAGTGTTTACGAATCAGTGCTTGTTTTTCAATCCTTGCTTTGGCATTGTACATGCTTAATCGTTACATTTAACTAACTTTTTAATTAAAAGTAGACCTTCTGGTTATACCCAGTTTATAAAGGAACAACATATACTACGAACAGGATATTTTTGCTACTGTTGCTCAATTTGATTTTAATCTTTATAAAGACACATTTGATGTTTATTTCTTGATCAAACATTGTTTATTGTTACCTTTTGCATTTTTTGTTGTAATGTTAGTCACTTTTTCTGCACAGTCGTACTTTTACAAACGTTGTCATTTATATCAAAAACACATGCAGTGTTAGTTGAGGGAAATAATGCAAAGACAAGAAAGCATGCATAATAATCAGCATGTGAAAAAAACTGCATCTGCAGTCAGAAACTTGTGCAAAGAACTTGAAGGCAACTGAAGGTAAACACATAATCTCATTAAAAACAACAGCACACACCCCCATGTTGGTTAATGCTAACGTTACCTAAGCAGACGATACACGAAATTAATCCAAGTGTCTCAATGCAATCTCATGCACGTTTATCGTTGATTTATGAAGTACTTTAAGTTCAAATCTGGTCAATAAAAATGTTTAGTAACAAGTGAACCCCATTAGAGACACGTCGCAGCAACTTCTCCAGCAAGGTGACGTTAGCTACGTTAGCTGGCTAGCTGGCTAACACATTTCTTCCTGAATAATAACAACAACAGTTTAAAGCATGGTGACCCACCATGGCGGCTTATATAGTAGTTATCCTCGTTTCCCGTCACACGTTTTCAACAGTAGCGTTTACAGGTCACGGTCGGAGAAACGGATAACACAACGAACATATTTACGAGCTCGCAGGAACGCAGCCATTCTGCTGCGTGGCCCAGAGCTCAGTGACAGGAAGTCAGACAGTGTGGCGAAGTTAGGAAAGAGGAGCAGGCAGGTTGACCTGCTGCAGCCATGTATGGAGGACGAAACGTGATTTATTCATCAAGGAATGAATACATGAACAATGGTGTAATAAACATCAACAAATAATCGGAATTATACATAAAGTGGCACATTTCTGCTCCACGCTACCGCTTTATGAATTAGCATAACTCCCCACATATAGTATAGTATTGTCATATTTTATTATATTTTACTGCACCCAGTTTCACCACATAATTATCTTTTGTGTAAATGTGTGTTTATTTTTCATTTATTACAATAGTCTTAAAATAGTTTTTTTAAATAGCTTTTATAATAGTACTATTTTTTTATTTTGCTAAGTATTCTTCTTTCTGTGCTTCTGTATGCACCTCTTATACCAAAGCAAATTCCTTGTAGGCCTATGTGTAAACCTACTAATAAAACAGATTCTGATTCTGATATTAAATAAATATAAATACAATTTTAAATAGTTGTATTGCTTCAGCTCTGAGAACATAGAAAACATACCACTAAATAAGATATTTAGAAACACACAGGCAATGCTTCTCAACACTCACATGTTACGTAAAATATATATGTAAAAGTTGTCCCTGAGGGTTGTGCAATTGATTGCCATTTGTTTTGTGTTTGTATGTGCAAACTGTGTATATTTAAATTAGTCACCAGAGATGGAAGAACTACTCAGATATTTTACTTAAGTTAAAGTAGCAATACTACAGTGTAAAAATACTCAGTTAGAAGTAAGAGTCATGCATTTCAAATCGTACTTCAGTAAAAAAAATATAATCAAAATATATTCCTTTTGCAGAATAGGCCATTTAAGCATAATATATTTATATTAATTGTAGCTTAACCTATAATATATATAATAATGTATTAGTTGATACACATTTTGTATTAATACTCTACATCTTCAAAGAAGTGTGTAACTAAATCTGTAAACAAAATGTAGTGGAGTAAAAGTATAAAAGTAGCATAATCTAAAAAAATACTAAAAAAGTACCTACATTTTTTCTAAAAGGTCAAATATTATGCAAAATACACTTGTTCATGTCTTTTATACATAAACACGTGTCCCTTCTGTGTAAAGAGATTCTGAAAGTTTCAGAAAAAAATATTTGCTCACTTTTTGTCCTGATCCATTTATATAAAAACCTGTCAGATTTTGCCCCCCCCCCCCCCCATTGTGTTCTTTTCACCAAATATCTCGCTGAGGGGTGTTGGGAGTGGCTCCTTATTGTCATCTAAAGTAACAGACAGAGAATCAGCACTTTTGAAACAGAGGGGTTTATGGGATGCTACAATGGGTGATCTGTTTGGTATTTAGAGCCAAACACTTCAGAGACATGTTTTGTATATATCTGAGACCTATAATATATTAATGAAAAACATTATAATAGGGGTTCTTTAACAGCACTTGAGTAAATTAACTTGGCAATTCCACCCTGGTAGTCAAATGTGAATATGTTAAAGTCTTTTTTACTTAACTGTATCTATCTTCTCAGTACGGATTCCAGAACAATTTCCTTTAAGGGGAAAATAAAGTGTATCGCATTGCAACAAACACGCCCGGGCAGAAGCCCTGAAACCATCACAAAAAATGTTTGTTATACCCCTGAAAAACAATCCTGGAACGCACGCCAAAGCATCAGTTCTATAGGAACATTCCCAGATTTTTAATTCTGCAAAACCTTTATATAACCTGAAGGGACAATCCCTGAATGTTCCTATGAGTTTATATTTGTAATGCTGAAGAATATGTTCTTGTTAGTATCATAATAATGTTAAGTAGTGGTTTAAAAAGTAGGGCTGCATTAGTAGTATGGATTAATCCATTGTGGTTTCATCTGTTGTTTGGTCTGCAAAATGATATCACCAAAAGTTGCCAGAAATTGCTATAAACAACTATAAAACAGACTAGAAGCAGCAACAGCTAAAATCGTATCAACCAGAAACAAGTTATTTTTTGTCATTGGGGCATGACAAAATATATTAGTTGCAAAGATTGTTGAAAAAATATTCTTTCTAATAATGTACTTAACCTAACCAGTTCTAACTAAAATACCTTAAATTATATACTAAACATGATGTGAAATGCATAGAATAACAACCCATAATGAAAGTAGCAATAACAACATTGTTGATTTCCCATTTCTGACCCAGAAGCATTTTAGTGGTCTAGTTGTAGTAATACAACATTCATGTGAGGTGTTAATCCATAAATCTGTATCTATATGTTCTGAGTTGACCAAATATGGGTGAAGTGTCCACAAATAGACCTATGACACTGGCCAAGTGTTACTGTTTTCAAAATGTGTGACCAGTATCTCAATACTAACAGCATTTGATACATTTAACTTTTTTATATTCAATTAATGTTTAATATGAATACTTAATTGAAGAAAGCTATGCAATTGCTACATTTGCAATGGGCTTCCTGGTCCCTGAATCTGATTGGTAACCAATGTCAGTGTTACACAGTTCTGCATCATATTTAACACTCAATAATCAAGGCCTACCTCAGTATGTAGCAGCTCAGGTGTAGTAGCTCCATATCATGCTCAGCAGTGGCTGTTTACATTTGTGCTTTATACATTTATTTTCACTAAAGATCTGTATTCCCCCTATTTGTTAACCATTTTAAACGTTGACCTTCAATTGCAATTATCTAAAGAACAGTCAGCTGTAATAAAGGAAAGTACAGCCTGTTTGACTTCACCTGAGTATGTGTCAAAATCTCTGGGATACAAACGCTTTTGAGAGAGTATTATCCAGTACTACAGCAGAATGTACCAGCAATGTAGCTAATTTAAAAGCAGACACGTTTTTTACGTGCTGGTTTGGCTAGATTGTCCAACCAAGTTATGAATTGCCAAAGGCATCAACATTTTAACCGCACAGCCTCTACAAGATCCTTTACAACAAGAAAAGTGAGTGAGTGTGCGTGTGTGTGTGTGTGTGTGCTGTCGTGGTAAGCGTAAAGTAATACAGGCGGTTTAGAGCATGGTGGTTACTTTATTCAGGCTTGTACTCTCCATGTCATTTCGTAGTAGCATGACCAGTCGTGTCCACATCCGGTCTCATACATCCTGTTAGCTCTATCACAATAAAAGCATAACAGCTAACACCACATCTCCCTTTCTTAAGAAAACAGAACAGACTGTCACATTTATATACTGTGTCTCAGAAAATGCAAAATCAGGTAATAAACTGAAAACTCTGCAAGAACCTCAGAACATGTCATCACACTTCTTTCTGCACAATCACATAGCTATTTACTCAAAAATAGAACATTGCACTCTTAAGGCTTCTCATGAAAAATAGCAAAAACAACCACTGAGTCAGGCAATATCTTTGTGAGCATAAGTGATCTAAACATCAAAACACAAAATTATTCAACATTCTTCCCTTTTCACATCGTCTTTTTTTTTTTTCCTTTTATTTGTCTCCCCCCCCCCCAGTTCACAAGTCCAGTCTGTGAGGTTTTACCACCACTCTGCCATACCTACTGGTAGGGCCGTGTGTGTGTGTACGGACAGGTGTGTGCCCCTTGGGAGCCTGTGTTGGTGACTCAGGGCGTTCTGGAGAACCCAGTGTAGGCTCACCTGGTTGGGGTGGTGTGCTGGGTGTTGGAGTGTGAGGTGTGTGTGGTACAGTCTCTGGAAAAGGGACAAGATGGTGTCTGTTCCGCCTGGTGGTGCCTGAAGGCCCGTCCACTATGTAGGAACTTGGAGCTGAGTGCGACGAATCCACTGTGCCTTGAGACTTTGTATCTGTAATCCACACTGGCTGACCTGGTGTGAGCTGACTTAGATCTCTCACACGGTGCCTTTAGTTGAAATTTGCAGTGTCCTTCACCCTCCTCTCCCTTTCTTTAGCTGCCACAACAGTGCTGTCTGGAAGCTCTGGGGTGAGTAGAGAGGGATGCTGGGGCACTGGAGTGCCCAGTCTCCTACCCATGAGGAGCTGGGCAGGACTGTAGCCATTAGCAAGTGGTGTAGCTCTATAGGCCAACAGAGCCAGATACGGATCCTTAGCTTTCTTTAGCAGCTGTTTTACAGTCTGAACGTGACGTTCCGCCTCCCCGTTACTCTGAGCGAACCTAGGGCTACTGGTGACATGTTTGAACCCGTAGGCTACTGCAAAGTCCTTGAACTGTTTACTGGAGTACTGGGGGCCATTGTCACTAAAAAAATTCTCTGGGACCCCATGTCTAGAGAATATTGATTTGAGATACACAATAACATCCTGAGATCGTGTGGGAGTTAGTTTGGCAATCTCTACATACATTAGCCGCATTCACACCGCAGGGCTTTCCCTGGTACTTTGGTTCTTTAGTTCCGTTAGTACCAATAATGTCGCGTTCACACCGCCGGGACTACTCAGTGCCGGGAACTCTTTTGGCCATTTTCAGTCCCTGCTAGAGAGGTGGTACGAACATGGTGATAAAAGAGTGCCAATTTCTATTTTATTTATATTGGCTGGGCGAATTGCAAACCACGCCCCGTTAGACTCTGAATTTTTTTTGTTAGGCAGCCATTTTTTTCCTCGCTACAAAACCACATCCACACCTGAGCGAGTAGTTTTTTTTTACTTTAAAGCAGTTATGACCACACGTACTACATCACCGGAGCGGTGGAATGATGAGGAAGTGTCGGCGCCGGAGGAACACAGCGGCGGAGGAAATGCCTCAATGTCAATTGGGGTACATGAACCAACCAGCTAAGGTATAAAAGCAGTGTTGGACTTCAGCAACACTCTCGTTTGCCCCGGGGCAAACTGAGTGCACGAAGGATGTACAGAGAGCGCACGAATATCACTGACTCGCTTGGCGGATGCCAGGGCCAGTAACAGCACTGTCTTCAGCGACAGGTGCTTCATGTCAGCTCTATCGAGGGGTTCAAATGGGGTTCGAGTGAGCCCATCTAAAACCACTGTCAAGTCCCATAAGGGCACCAGTGACCTGGAA